TAAGTAAATATGAATAAAAATAAAATAAGAAATAAAATATAAGGAATAAATAAATGTAGATATAAAAATAAAGTAAAATAAAGTAAAAATAGAAATAAAAGATTTGGTTCGGAATTAGGGTATTTCGACTAACAAATTAGCGTTAAATCCTAATTCGGGTAACACAAGCAATAACTCTCCAAAAAGAACAAGATAATTTAAATACATGTTATTAATTTGTATTTTTTGTATCTATGTTTAATTAGCCAGCAAGGAATGGATTTGAGCAATTAGAATTAGAACTTGTTGAATGGCTTGGTGAAAATAATGGAGGGAGGATTGGGAAAACAGCTGTTCATAATATCAGTTATCACTTTGTACATGAATCAATTTGGTATATTGACAAATGTTCTTGAAAATTTTTGAAGAGTGATATAAAATAACAGATACAGAGAGGTTAATTCAATGTTGCATATGTAATAAAAACAGATATTATACTCGAGGTATAAATTAATGTTAGATGAAAAATTTTTTAACTAGATTTTGGATAGTATATACTATTCATGTGAAGATTTTTAGAACAATCTGATGGAAATGCAATTGCAAATAACGAAATAATATTAATGAAGTTTCATCACTTAATAATACTTTGTCATCTAATTCTAATATGAAAGGGAGCTTCACCGGATTGGAAGATAGTGAAAATGTTCAGATCAATTGAAAACCAATCAGAATTATTTGAAAAAAATGACAATGATGTTTTAGAAATTATAAAGAAGTTAAGGCTCATTAACTTGTAATAGTTCGATGGAAATTCCATATTATTCATCTAATTTATCTAAAAGTCTGTTTTTCTTGTGTTTAAAGGAACTACCTGTATGTAAAGATGAAAAATTTTTTTTTTTTATAAATAAAAATTTTATAACGCGTGACACTATAAAATTTTTCAACGGCTCTTTCTGATTATACACCAGATAGTTTTTTTGGAAAAAAAATATAAAGTAAATGCAGTTACCCTTTAATAAATTAATAGTAAAATGGTTTAATGTTGTTTATAGTTAAGTTGTTTTTTCGCATAACTGTAGATTAGTTTTTTGAAAATAAAAATATGAAAAGCAACTTGCCAACACAAAGGATTTGATCTAATTCTGATGATAAGACCAAATATGCAGCATGGGTTAACCAGTATGGCTGGGCTGCTTATGATGCAGTGATGCAGTGATGGATATCCTTGCTACTCACAACCTTGGAACAAATAGTCGTAGGGATAAAGATTCAAATCTGTATTTGAATTTGAGAATATTGAAGATTTGTATAATTTACGTGATATAATCCAAGCTGGCAATCTGGCACCAAATGTCTTTTGTGCACCACCTAACTATCATGCATTTGTTAGAAACGCTCAACTTGAACCTATCGGCATGGCATGGGTTGTGTTTAGGATTGGAGCAACTGGTGATAAGCAATAATAAATAATAATAATAGATTCAATAACGCCAAGATAATTGTTATAACAATGCTTTATACACTTTAAATCAATTTGGTTGTGGCTGAGAAATAGTAGATAATTAAATTTATTATTTAATGACTTATTTTATTTCTATATACAGTATATCCAAAACACCTATCCCTTACAAATATTGTTTTCTTCAATTAGTTGTTTTCAATTAGTTGTTTGTGTTGTTGAATCATAAATAAATTTATTATTTATTTTAGTTTGAATTTCATAACTGTAAATCGTAAATTAAGCAATGTTTTAGGCACACGAAAATCGTAAATTTTTTTTTTTTTTCTCGCGATTTTTTTTCCGAGTGAACTTTTTCAAATTTCTTAAATATTACAATTTTATTCACCCTATTCCCTCAACCTGTTATTCGCAAGTAAATAAAGAAAGAAACAATGAATGATCCAAAAAGGTAGCAGCTAGACAAAGATTAAATAAAAAAGCGCGTGAAGATTTGATCCGAATTGGTTACGAATTTACCCTTGGCTTGAACAGAGCGAAGATAGCAATGAGAAGGTGATAATGTCTTGCAACTGGTGTGAACATGCCAAAAGAAATATACTTTTACAACGGGTACACAATCATACCAAAAGCAATACTTGACGATTTTTTTCCTTGACAAAAACTCGAATTCGCAAACAATGAATTTAGAAATCATTTAATGGTAAGTTTAAACTGTCCTTATTTGATTTTGAGTTAGCTTTTGAACATTGGTAATTCTAAAAAACGACAATTAAAACAAAATTTATTATAAATTACACGTAAAATTACTAATTGCACATTAGTTTGCTAATAATGTATGGTCAGCGCACTTTTAATATGATAGCGATGTACATAATTGAGTTTGAATGAAAATACACCAACATGCAAAATATGTTTTGATGAAGCAATAACGCATTGCTTTACATTTAATATAGCATGTCAAGAGTGTTATGAGAAGGTTGAAGATTGTGTTGTCTATAGAGTAAAAATGAGAATATATTTCTGACATGTTTATGACTATTGATAGTATAATGCAGGTGGTCTATTGGTGGTCCATTGGGTAACACTTTAACCATATTTAGTATTTTATTAATGGCAATGGACCAGTCCAAAATCCATCTGTTCTCAATGGACCAGTCAATTTGCCAACCCTGGTATAATGAGGATAATTCTCGGCATTCTTTTCCTCTGCTTGAACGTGTCATGTTTTCAGTTAAGTGATTAAATTTTTTATCTTGGTATACGCAATATCCTACGGCACATACAGCCTCCGTTTATATGGTCGATGGTTGTCATAAACACCCGCTGGAATTACCCTAGCGCTCTCCTCTTTTCTATTTTATCAACACCGCTGCATTATATATGTTTGCTCTCTGATGAGATTATTAAAAAGTGGGTATTTACTTTGATGTTTGGAAGGCGAGAGTGTTTAAACCCGAGATCACTTGACCAACAACAGATTCATGATGTCAAATCCACTCATCAACCAGTATCTCAAATGCAATAAACAAAGTTACTAAACTTTATAAAGATGTAATAGATCAATTATTTGAATCGGAAGTAGTTTCCTTTCAAGAGAATAGATAGATACAAAGGTATATTATTTCTGTTAATCATTGACTACCTTTTCTTTCAGTATGTTCGTGTAACAGGTTCTATTCAATTATTAAAGATCATTATCATGCCATAATCATATTAATCAATCAACATAAAAAAAAATTAGCAACAGTGCTTTGGAATTCTAAAATATTTGAAAGTTATGATTATAACAACAATGTTTCTGACTAAATCCAATTCAAAGTTTACAAAAACAATCCGATTTCACAGGCACCAAGAAGGCATTGCTAGCTGACAAGTAGTCGCTATATTGAACAGAAGTCCAGCTTACCGTTGAAGATGGCAAAAATGTTAATTGCTTCATCTTTGGTAGTTGACTGTATTTATTAATGCATTGCATGAGATATTATCTCCAAACCTAGTTATTAATCACATTTACAGAAATTGGATCTGCCGGAGATGAAACATGAAGATGATGCCAAATTTGACTCTAAAGATCATGGTATGAATATATTGTTGTAACCGTGGAATTAGTAGAAGGATAAAACCAAAATGGTAGTTGTTTACTCTATTATGTGTCATCTTATAAGCGAACACAAGAAGCACTACAACCAAATTTGGTTCCAAAAGCATAAAAACAGCAATAGAATCCAGCTCACGAACTAGTATATTAATGAATCTATGATAGATGCAGAAAAGATTGGCTTTTCTAAGCAATTATTATTATGACATTGTTTACAGATTAAAAGGCTTTTGTCATCTAAGAATCTGAAAAAAATATGGAGATTAGTCATGGATCGTTAAGATAAAAAAAAATAAAGTCTTTCTCCATATACAATGTGATCTAATTTATTGGGTATGCAATTATCAATCTGGTGACGTTTGTTGTATACGACAGAGTAATAGAATTAAGCATAATCAACTTAACGAATTGGTCAAGAATTCTGGAGACTAAAGATAAAGTGAAACTATTCAGCAAAAGATTATATTGATGTGAATGTTATTACTAATTTAATCGATAATCTTGAAACCAGTCTGGTAGTAAATAATCCTTATCTTAGTATTTGTTGCTGCGCCACTTAATTTTTGATGACGTGACAATTGGCCAATTTATTACAAAGAAATTTAAATGATAAACTATCTAACATCAGATCTGAAGGTGGCTTAGAACTTGATTGTGTAGGATTTCGAATAGATAAAAACAAACATGTTTTATGAAAGACGATGTTGGTCTAAAATTCACAATGCAACGTTTTGTGAATGTATGATGATAATAAGAATAATAATAGGAATAATAATCAAGATCAAATAAGATTTTCAGGTTTGGAACAAGATCTTTGTTTATAATAAATTTTTCCTAAATAAAGTAATATGATAGTAGATGTTAATCAGTAAACAAAAATGACTATTTATTTTATATGGATTATATTAGGATTTACTACTATTAAAACACATGATTTTATGAATTAATAATTGCAATGATAACTTGTTCGTCGGCGATTTGGTTTATAACACCATTAGCAAAATATTGTCCGACTTTATTTACCAATTGTTCATGTAAAACATCACTAGTTGATGTATTTTGAATTTGTTGTAACTTTATTGGATCAACAGATTCTTTTAATTTTGATAATATATCCTTAAATGGTTTTGTATAATAATTAATTTGATTGATTATAGAAATAAAATAAAAATAAAAAATAAAGAATAACGCTTACCAATATAGCATTGTAATTACGAGTAACAACACCCCCCAAAACAGAATCATTGGAGTATTTATTAAGAACAGTTTCGTATTTTTTTAAATTAGGCACTAAAATATTTCTAATAGCTTCACGCCCCATGGCGCCAATGGTTACTATACTACCATAATGAGAATACAAATTATTATGTTGACGATGATGATTATGATGATTATGATGATAACGATTTTGATAACGATGTTGATTGTCATGTTGATCATCGTTGTTGTTAACATTATCATTTAAAGCTTCAATTAAAAGTTTTGTTATTCTAGTTTGTAAAGAACTATAAGTACCACCATATCTATCACAAATTTTGGCGATTATACGTGCAGCTAATTCACGTATTTGCCATTGTAACTCAGAAGATGAATTATCATGTACTCCCAAGTTGTTTCTTAGAATACACGTTAATATTGCAGGCATCAATTGATGTAACTTAAAAAAAAAAAATTTTTTTTTTTGAAATCAAATTAATTTTTTTTTAAAAAATAATCAATTAAAAAAAAATTTTTTAAAAAAAAAACTTACATAAGGTTCTAAATAAAGGCTGTTGTTGTTTATTAATGACTCAGACATTTGTAAAATAGGTTCTAAAAGCCTAATGTTTCTTTTTACGCCTTCTGCAACCTAAGATGATAATAATGAGTCAAATTGAAATGTATGTGTGTATGTATGTATGTATGTGTGTGTATTTATGTATGTATGTATGCAAGCAACGCATAACTTACTTTTTCACAAATAAATTTTACAAAATAAGGAACAAGTTGTGATAAACCAGTATCACTCTCTAGATCATTTAAAATAGATTGTTTCAATCTATTAGTCGAGGCAGTAACAGTGGTAGGATCTTGACTATTAATCAATGTATTGGTAACTTTATTATAAAAAGTTTCTAATTCTTTAGATAAGACATGTTGTACTAAAGGTTTAATTTCTATATTTGAAGAAGATGATGATGTGGTTGTGGTGGTGGTTGTGGTTGTGGTGGTTGTGGAAGTTAAACCATTTTGTTTTATGTTGTTATTGTTATTACTAGTAGTATTTTGTAGTAGTTCTGATTTACGATCTATTAAAAAAAATTTTTTGATCAGTTAATGAGAATATGAGAATATTAATCAATATAATAACTATTATATTAGTAAATACAACCTTCAATTGGTGGTGGATTGTGCGGTATGGTTGGTTGAATTCCTTCAACTGCAAGCCAATGAGCTAAAAAACAATAACCGGAAAAGATTAAGTAAAAGAAATGAGGGTAAGAATAAATTAAATTTGGTCTTTTTGTCCATCACACCAACATCACGCATACACATACAAGTAAATGTAACTTGTACAGGTACTTTAGGCATATTTGAATACAAAACACTTTCAAAATCATTTTCTTCATCTTCCATATAATATAAATCAACTTGATTATTTGTGACTCGTTGAAATTTAGAATTGTCACTTAAACCAAACCCATATAATGGCTATAAATGTAAATATAATTTTCAAAATAAAAATAAATCAATAAAATATTCCTTAAAAAAACCAAATAATCACACACACTGCACACATACATCGACATTTCTTATCCTTAATGCATGATTTATATCATCTCCGGTTAATTTTGTTCGTTTGGAATGACGCATAAATTTGCTTGCTTCCTATTATTATTATTATTATTATTATTATTATTATTATTATTATTATCATTATAAACATTTTTATTGTTGCCATCCTCAAATAGTTTATAAGTTGTATGAGTATGAATAAGGTGGATCACACCACCTGTATTATTTCATAGATCCTATATTCTACATCATGTGCCAATGCATTTGCTACATTGTCTTTTAGATTTGATATTCCAATTGTTTCAGCAGTATTCTAAAAAACCAATTTAATAATAAATAAGAAAACGATGAAAGGAATAACCATTAATTAATTGTTGGGAAAAAACCTTTATTGCTTCTTTAGGAAAAATTCCAGACATTATTATTTATTTACATTTAGATTCCTTTTCCTTTGAACTTTTTTAAAAATCAAATCAAATCAAATGAAATGTTTGTAACACGACATTTGAAATTTGATTGGTCAGAAATCTATTTAATACAAATTACCTAAAGTAACTTTAATTGGGATAAATGCTTTAAAGGTTTTTAAAGCATGTCGTGTAACTTGCAAGAACATGCACAAATCTTCAACACTTATGTCAATCATACCTAAGAGGCGGTTGTTGTTTCAACCATATTACTATAATTGTCGATTTTTCAGTATTTTTTTTTTTCATTTGATTAGGAAAAAAAAAAAAATCTTTTGAAATTAATTAATGTGAAAATAAAACGAGGAGGAGGTATTACAATTCTCTATTCTTTAAAAAAAACAGTATATATATATATAATATATGAGTATAGACAATTATTTATTCTTTGGAAAACAGTATATATATATATTATAGTTAATTATTAATATTAATATTTAAGAGAAAACTAATGTATTCCTTACGTAGTTGTAGATCTATGCCAATAACGCATATCAATTATATGTGGGTGATTATATTTAAATAATTTTGAATTAGTTCGTTATTGAATCTTTAAACAAATGGCGTAAATAAATAATTCATTATTTGAAAAAAAGGCAAGATAAATACAACATCATTGATAAATAGATAGTACCAAACAATAATTAAGTAGACAAATAATTTGATAAGTCTTGGTGTAACAATTAAATGAAAGTTTAATGGGAAAACAATCAACGATTATAAAAGAGATACAATAATTTTTTTCCTCTACAAAAAAAAAAAATTTTTTTCATTTTTTTTTTTTTTATACGAAATTTACGAAATTTACGAAATTATTTGACTCTAAAAAAAAAAATTTATAATAAAAAAGAAATGATGAATTCTACAAGAAATATTGTCATGTTATTCGTTCTATCATTATTACTACTATCTACTGTACACGCATTACCTTTTCCACTAGGCGACGAGTCTTTTGATGAAGATTATTATAATAATTCTCGTTAGCTTTTAACCTGGTTATTAAAGTCAAGCAAGGCAAACAAATGGGAAGACGAAGAATATGAAGAGATAAAATTAATCATGACTAATCTTGGAAAATTAAATAATAATATAATTACTAATTAAAAAAATTCAGAGTTAAATAAATTCATAAAATTTGTTTTTTTTTGTAAATAATATTAATATAATTAATATAACTTATAAAGTTGTTCCTTTTTAAGGTTAAGTTTTTTTTTTTTGTAAATTTATTCCTGTAATAGTTAACTATTTCTTGTGTAAGTTTTTACTCATAATAAATAAATTGCTCATTTATAATTTTTGATTTTATGTGTGGGATCTTTATAATCAAAAGCATAAGGACTTGGATCTAATGATTCAAATTTACAGTGTGTAACAAAAAAAAAAAAATGGAAATCTTTATTATTGGTTTCTCAATAATGGTTGAATGAAAATAGATAAAATTTATCAACTTATTTTTAATTGCTTTTAACTTAAAAGCCGATTTGGTTTTTTGGACCCTTTTTTCAAACCTTATGTCTTATTGTGTCTCGATGTTAAACACGAGTATTTTTAATGTGTAAACTGGTCAGTAGAATGATAATTAACCCTAAAACCAATGTGTTTTTGCTAGTATAAAGTATTCATAACGTTATGATCATACCGTACTGAATTTTGGGATCAAACAAAATCAGCAAGTTAATTTAATTTTATTCCATTTAAAAATTCAATTATTAAAAATCAACAAAATCATTTCTCACTAATTTGCCAAATTTCATTTCAATTCTTTGGAGTTTTTTAACATTCATTACTCTATGTCTTGCTTAACAAATCACCAAAAAATTTGATATGAACATTGTTGAATAATAATCATCACATGACTAAATAGCACATTTTTAAATTGACTTCATGAATAAAATTTGAGCTTAAAATAATTGACTTTCAAACAGCATCCCAATCTTTGTAATAAGTTCAGGAGTGATCTCTATATAGAATGTAATGGCAAAAAAAGAACAAAAAACACACTTTTTCTAAATTGCACCAAAAAATATCCGGTTTTTTTTGTTACACACTGTAAACATCCTTCGATATTAAGGCCGTCCAAATTTAATTATTTGTTTAATATCCTTTTTTTTTGAAAATTAAGAGGGAGGGGGGAGGGGAGAAATTTAAACAAACAAAATAAAATAAACGCCAATGAAAAGGCCTTCAACCACTAGAGTTACCGGCAAAGAAAAATATTTTTCCAAAAATGTTTTGTGTTTTATGAAAAAGTTTAGGAATACTTTGTTACACAGTCAAATCACGTGCATTATAATTAAATTTTGAAAATCTGGGAGGGGAATGTTAAATAATTAAATTAAATCTAATGATATTAATATCAAATTCTGATTGGCTAATTTGAATTTCACAAATGCGAATTGCAAAATTTCTTTTCCACAAAGGTTTGCTGAAGAGAGTGTAACTGTGAATTTCTAAATATTTATATAATAATAAGGACCGAAATTATATACTTTAAATAAATAAGTTTTTCCGGTTCGTTTTTGAAAAATTATTATTATAACTATAACTATTACTATATTTGGTACAAAATATTTATAATATTTAAAATATTTTCGTCAAATTACAATTACTAAATTTATTTGTATGCAAAATAATTGTTGCAAAAGAAAATCCAGATCTGCATATACAGATCTGGTTTAAAATTGTTGAACCGGAAAAGAAATCCAATTACAAATTGTAATTGAAAACAAGACAACAGTATATCCCCATCTAATCTACATATACTACTTGTTCTATATACCTATTCTTTGTAGAAGTTACATCAAATTTTCTTTTACTTTAAATAAAAACGTGCGAGTTTCCTGTAATTTTACTTGGTATTTTGTGAAAATATAATTAATTAACATCATAATTTATTTTTAAATAAGGTTAACATGAGAAAATGTAAAGTTCATTCTTTTCTTCCGTCCCTATATGTGCCTTTTTTCATTATAAAGTGTGTTTACTAAGATATTTGTTATAGAGAGAAAAATTAATTATAAAAAAATGAATAGGGACGAAAGGAAGTTCATTATAGATATTTAACTCCGTCAGGATCAACAGGAATGGGCCAGTTGTTTTTTATTTTGGTGGATTTCCTGTTAAGGGATTTAATGGCTATTTATCAAAGAAAGGTAAAAAAAGTCGCTCTTGCATTTATGCTTATATAATATTATATAATAATAATGTTACAGTCAAACCTCGTTATAACAGATTTTTGTTATATCGAACAAAATCTTATCCTATTTTTTTTTATTAAATAAAAAATTTCGTTATAACGAATTTGTATAATAACAATAAACCTCGTTATTCCGTATAACGAACATTTATTTGAAAATTTTTATATTAATATACACTCCCCTTAATAACCGGAAATGTCACGCCTTATGCAGTTCAAAATTTTATTAATCAAACTGGGACTGGTGCATTAAGTAAACGTGTTTTTAAAAGTTAATTTGCATATAAACTTAAAGTCTCGTTGAGTTTGCATTATTAATGAATTTAGGATGAAAATTTTAAATTAGACAAAAAATTCCGTGATTTTTATGAAAACTTTG